AGAAAGAGAAAAAATATGGTATTTTTTGCGCTACAATGTGAAGACCTACGAAGTGTTTAGTCTTGATTTGCCGGCTTCATGACCTCAAAACAACGACTTCTTGTCGAAACATTTCAAGTATATTTCAACTTCATTCTTGAAAACTGCATTTTTCTTGCAAGAAATATACTTTTAATAGATATTTTAAGTAGAATTTTGCTATTCATTCGCCAGGAAGAGGAAAAATATTGTATGTTTTGAGGTCATGAAGCCAGAAAAACCATACTAAACACTTCGTAGGTCTTCACATCCTATTGCAAAAAATACCATATTTTTTCTCTTTTTGACGCTAGCACAAATCGACTTTAGATATCTACTAAGACTATATTTCTTAAGAGAAAAGGGGATTTTTATAGTTATTTAGGGCGCTAACTTACCTTTTATCACCCAAAAAACCACCTGAATCCGCCATCTTTTTTTTACATTCTCGCACATTCTCGCGGGCCTATTGTTCTCGCTATCGTTCTAAATGCAATCGTTACTTAAAAGTAAAGTTATATAGCACAAGTGAACTGCGTGACAAAACATCCTAAATAACCCGTAAATCTTCTGTTCTTTCGCTAACTACTGTAGTAGCGTGTTTTCGAGGCTACGAAACATAAGAAACCATAAGAGGCGAATGTATAGGCCAACAGATAGTATGAGCTTAAAAGATCAACAAAAATACGGCTCTAAATTTTAACAAATTCCTATGAGTTATATACCAAAATGTTCAGAAAAACCCGGGGTTTTCAAATCAACTTCTGTTTTTTTGACGGGTTCTGTTTTATTTCAAGGAGAGACGATTTTCTAGCTTGACCCCGGTTATTGTCATGCATTTTCTCTTGTAAAATACATCCAATAGCGTACATTCAACTCAAAAAGTACGGTGGTTTTTTCAATAGAATTCAATCTGAATCATATAATACAGTCCGTGAAAAGTTGAATTAACTGAATCCACTTGATAGCCATTATTTTGAGAAAAGATCCAAAAACCAAGGCTCCAATGAGGGAGCGTGAGCTTGAAATCGTAGCTGACCAAATGTTAACAGATTTTTTCTGATGTTGTTTCAATTATTTTTGTACTGCTATTTAGAGAAACAGATAAACTAATCGAGTAATTAATTTGTTCTAAAGCCAGTGCATTTGTACGGGAATCCAAGAATGATGTCCGAACGTTTTATTGGTGACCGTAAAACAATCCAATAAAATTGATACCAATCGAATAAGGTGAATTGCAGGAATTTTGTCACATAAAAATAAGAAAATAACAAAAAATAAATAAAATAGGAAAGTATAGACTGATGATGCGTTGGCAACTTGACTCTTTTTTTTCTCCTTGCGCGATGGCTTGTTAAAACCAATTGCTGTTTTTCTTTATGACGTCACATGAAAATGATTAATTTTTGTTTTAACATTAAGAATGCCATGGTCGTGGGAGGGGGACAGAACAGCAACAAAGCAAAGAAAACAAAGATTTTTTAAATGATACGGCGGCCATTTCGAATATTATTGTTTTAATTTAATCAAGACATTATGGAATGCCGAGGGGAAACTGATGGAAAATATATGGACTGCACAGCTGTCAGCATGTATCTTTCTATAACTTTACGCTTTCTAAATAGACCTTWTTCGAGTTCCAAATTACCGCTGTGTTTCTTGATTACAGACTCATTTACTCAGGCTTAGCTTCGATTTTGTGAGGAATATTCACGTGTTCCAGTCAAAGTCTAGCCTCCTTCGCAGCCGTTCTTAGGGTCGTCACGCAACGTTTCCTTACGTTGCGTGACGACCCTAAGAACGGCTGCGAMGGAGGCTAGTCAAAGTCCGTCGAGTTTCAAAGTGTTCGTATTGTTGAAGTTGCATTCTTTACTTTACCGTTGGTATTTGTGAATACCTAGACACTGATTCGAGGCTTAGCCTGAGCAAATGAGTCTGTAATCAAGAAACACAGCGGTAATTTGGAACTCGAAAAGGGTCTATTGTCTACGTATGTTTGCCCCATCGGCATCCCATAATTCAAGATGGCCGCCGTATCAGTAAAAAGGTCTATTGCTACGCGTGCTAGTTTTTATTCCTCGATAACTAAGGTTGTATTTCCTATACTTATATTTTGCTTAGAATGAAATAAGAAAGAATGGCCTAAAAGTCAATTAAAACATCTTGTTTTTAGATTTTTTCTTCTTCTTGATCTTCTTCTTCGTCTTTTTCGTCTTCTTCTTAGGCTGACGTTTATTGTAGTTATAGTATAACTGTTGCTTTCTCTGTCATTTTTATGGCACATTTAGAAACAAAGCTGTTATCTAATAGTCCCTACAAACCTCTCGTCTTGAAACGTTTTATTGATGATGTTTTCTCTGTGTGGACTTTAACTGAAGAAGAGATCACAAAATTTGTTGATTCCGCTAATAATTTCCACAACACAATAAAATTCACTTGTGAAACATCATCACAGAGCGTAACTTTTCTCGACACTACAGTTTATAAAGGACCAAGATTCCCTACTTCACACATTTTAGATGTGAAAACATTTTAAGCCACCCGAAACCTTCCAATACACCCACTTCTCATCATGTCACCCACCTAGCGTAAAAAAGGGTTTTGTCAAGGGAAAAGYTTTAAGACTACTACGTAACAACTCCGTAGCCGAAGCTTTTGAAAACGACATACAAAGCTTCACCAAACGCCTCCACAATCGAGGTTATCCGAAAGATTTTGTCACAAACATCCTTAAAGAAGTTAAATCTATTGGAAGACAAGAGGCGCTTAAAAAACGAAACACAAAATCGCATCGTAAAATGCTACCATTCGTCACTATGTACAATGCAGCCGTACCGAACATCAAAAACATTTTAATGAAGCATTGGCACCTTATTACTGGCAACCACAACCTTAAAAGGATCTTTCCTGATCCTCCTTTCGTCTCTTACAAGAGAAATAAATCGCTTAAAGACTCGCTAGTCAGAGCGAAAATCCCGAAAAGAGACCAGACAGATATAATTCTAACGAATTTTTGTAGTGTTTAAACTCATTGAGCATAGCGGCAGGGCAGTGGCAATATTATAACACAGTAAACACTGCTGGGACCGATAAAAATTTCCGGTTTAGCGGGGATTCCGGTATACTGAGGTTTTTGCAAATTCCTTTTGTTTTCGATTTGAATAGGTGCGATATCACACTATTGAAAATATGTTTGTGTCTAATCGTTTGGCGTCAGTATAAACAAACACGTAAACGAAAGTTAAAGTAAAAATATCAACAATAAGATCAAAACTAAGCAAATTTCTTTCTTTTTTCTTCAAAAGAACGCCAAGAAGAAACATTGTAAATATGATCTGAACAAAATCCCCGGTAAAATGGACTGGGATTGACCCCAAAGCCATGTGACATGAAAAAACATGGCGGCCGCAACTTCGCGAACCATTCAATCTTTAGTATTTCTCAACACTATTAAACCTTCCTTATGCATTCTGTTTGAACATTCATACATTGAAAAACAATCTATTAGTCTTTATATGTCAATTTGTGATCAAGCTTTACTATTTAAAGAAAATTTTCGATGATGATTTTGTGAGTTTAGAAGTTGCCCCTGTAGTTCCGAAACAAAGGTACGTTCTTTCGGACTAGTGGGGTTGAATTCTATTGTCAAATAGCGTTGGTACCGAAATTATCCTCCGGTTTCCGGAATAGAGAGGTTCCGGTTTACTGAGGTTTATTTTACAAAAGATATATGGAAAAAAATTTCCGGACCAATACTTTTGTCCGGTTTAGAGAGAATTCCGGTATACTGAGGGTCCGGTATTGAGGGTTTTTTACTGTATATCTATATCATTGACTTTGAACATATCAAGCCTTTAGCATAGAAGCCGATGATAACTGCAGTGCGAGAAGTGAAAGAGCTACTCATTTTAAAGTCTGCCCCATTTAAGCTTGTTGATCTGCGAGAGGCCTAGCAGCTGCACGGATATTTTAAAAATCCTTTTCCAATATGCCTATTTCACCGGTAGAAACATGGAGTTTTCATTTCATTGACAGCACGCAGCAAAGTTTATCTATGCCTTTTAACTTCAAGAGTGTAGGCACAAGTTGTCTTTCATTCGCATTTTTCGATGCGCGCGATAACCCTAGCACCGCACACTCACTAGATCCTTCCCATCAACCATAGCGTGAGATCAATAGCGCAGCGCAACTGTGACGTCATAAAAACGAAGACAAAGGCGAAATTCGGACAAACAAACTTACTAGTTTACTTGCAGCAGATAATTTTCACAGCCGATCGCAGTTGATCTTAGTTTACTTGGGTTATTATTGTAACTTTAAGTAAAAATAATAAAATCGGTTCGTATAATCCTCGTAGCGGTTAAACAGAATGCAATGTTTGTCCGAATCTTTAAGCTATTTTTAGAATCAGTGCGCTGCGCTATAAGAGAAAAGCGACTCGGTACGAGTCTGAGCCATACCACCCTGAACCAAACGGCAGACATTGGAAAAAAAGATTTATTTTAGTTACTTGGTGTATTTGAGCTCACTGCTTCATTTAGATGGTGACAGTAAAGAGTTCACAAGAAATTATCAAAAAATTATCAGAAATTATCAAAAAAACTCGAAGGGTTCACGGTTAGAGTGTCCTCACTGTAAAAGCCCTTTCTGTTGCCGTTTGTTTCTGTTATAAATAATTATTGGACACGATTTTTGGCAGCTTTTGCCACAGGTAGCCCAAGCTTAGTTTCTGTGGTATCGAGTATGAGGAAATGTATGGACATTCTTCAAAAATTTCAATAAAATCATTGAAACGTAAAATAAAGCATTGAAATKTTACSYGATCATTGMGAAATAGCACTTCTTTTGCTCTGTGTGGTCATTTATTGAATTTAACCCGTTTTAAGGATTTTTCCCCAATCCAATCTACCTGTATAAAACCGGAAACGGAAGTAGATCGTCCTACCCACAATGCAAACCAAAGTCCCGTATGTTGTGACCAAGTCCACTCACTTCGAGGAAGAAGAGAGGAACTTGAGAACTTTTACTGAATTCAACAACCAAAAACACCCAAAATGGGGCAAGCCTCAAGCTCCAGAAGAGACGCAAGTCCTTCTAGAGAGAGTACTCTACCCGAGGTAAGCGTTTTTTGGTTCTTTTATACCAACAATATCAAATTTCACGAGGTCTTCGTGCGGAGTTTCGGGTTTCGCGCCTTTGCTTACTCTACAAATATCCTTCCTTCCTTGTCCGAAGACCTTGTTGTTTTCTCCTTTAAATAACTTCACAGCCTTTGCTAGGCTTTGTTGTGTTAGCTAGAGGTTATGAGAACTTCGTACGATTAAACGCTTTCCTAAAACAGCTAAGGAGTAGATGAAAAGTGTGTCTTTCTTCAACATATTGTCATTCGTCACCTCTGCTGGGTTCGCCTTTTACATAATCCCACAACTCACCTCTTCATCTATAAATATTTGATAGCACATTTCATCACCCAAAGATAGATTGAACGTTTCAAGAAAGTAATAAGTATTGATAATTAGGGGGTTGGTTTTGGCTTCTTCGAAGACAGATACTCACAATTTCTTTTTCACGTGTCTGTCTGTGTTAGTATGGAAGCGCGAGGAGACGATAATCTCAGGATTTTCCTGTGAATTGGTCGAGTGTTTTGGAATTATTAAAATATTCTCTTTATATTTGTATTGCAAATATTTTTATTTGGCAATTTTGGAAAGCAACCCTATTCCTTCAGAATCTTTAATGATACTTCATGTTTTGTTGTTGTTGCTGCTTTTGTGGTCGCTACTTTTGTTGATGCTGCTGCTTTTGTTGCTAATGCTGCTGTTGTTGATGCTACTATTCTTCGTTTGCAATAGAGGTCATAGCAGCCATGTTGGAAGAATTTGAACAAAGATTTTACAATGAACTCTTTTGTTATATCTTCCAACATGGCAGACATCACTTTTGTTATTGTGCTCTCTAGGGATTGATTGCAAACCAAGAATTGTTGTTACTGCTGCTGTTGTAGCTATTTTGCTATTTGTTGCTGTTGTTGCTGTTGTTGTCATTGCTGTTATTGTTGCTACTGTTGTTGATAGGGGAAAGAGCCAAAAGTTCTACTCACTTGTGCTCCCAAGTTCAGGAATCTAAGATTACTGAGACCTCAGAAGTGAGAGATAAGTGAACTAATTTCTATAGTAAAAAGATATAATTTGTGTTTTTGTTGATATGCTTACAGGCAAGACCATCAGGCCATCCAAGTGGAGAGGGCAGTTTTGTGATTTCGTCTTTCCATATCCCATACCAAGGTACAGCTAGTCGAATATCCCACATTTATTATTTGCTTCGTTTTTCAGTAAATAAATCATATTTTGATTCMTCATCATCATCCTTTATGCCTATGTTGCACGTACATGTAATGCCAACCCCAAGGACTTCAAGGCTCTGGCAATATTCATAGGGCCAGCCACTACTCCACATATTATTTATTGCTATGGAAACGAAAATAAAGGATATTTTGATTTGCATTCGATAAATAATGTTTTTACAGACATTCCAGATATATCAAAACCTATTGAAAATTGGTTGTCAATGGATAGCAAATCAAGAGAAAAGCAGGTTCTCCATGCAAAGCATTGTATATTGACCCCATACTTCCTCTTCAGTAAAGAGGATGAGAACGGTGGAAAGGTATAGTAAAGTACTCTTAAGGCCGGTTTAGACGGTACGATTTTCGCCTACAACTATCCTATAAAACACGATGCACCATCCTACAACTCGAGTCGTAGCGTGTAAATCAAGCCTACAACTTGCCTACAACAGATGCGAGTGTCTTGTACAAAAGTTGTAGGCAAAAATCGTACCGTCTAAACCAGCCTTTATAGAGCATTCACATGATGTCAAAGCAGCCATGTTTGGTGTAACAAAACGATACATTTTCTATCCCCGTGGAATTGAACTCTATTTTTGAGCAAAAACTGTGCAGAAAGTTTCTGTTGTTTGGTACACCAATATGGCTGCCTTGTCATGTGTGTAAAAATGCTCTTTCTATATATATTTTATCATAATTTTCAGGGCCACTAGTTAATCAATGTAAACTGTCATGTGTTATCCTCTTAAATTAAAGTTCTGTTATTGTTGTTGATGGAGTTGAGATAAGAACATCATCAACATAATCATTATTCTACATAGTTCTCATCACTACGGTTAAAAAAATCATCATTGTACATAATTCTGTTCACTACGGTTAAATAATCATCATTCTATATAGTTCTCATCACTACGGTTAAATAATCATCATTCTATGTAGTGCTCATCACTACGGTTAAATAACATTCTATATAG